TTACCCTATCTTTACGTTGGGTTTTTTGAGGTCTGTGGAAACTCCGGAGAGTCAATGGCCTTTATGATATGCATTTACTTTATCGTTGTAACAATTCCATTACAGGATGTACAATATACATAGTTATCTTGATTTATATGGTATGATTTTTATGAAGATGGCTTGTTTGCATTGTATTGTGTCATGTTGATTAGGTACTGAGGTCTGAACAGAAGGTCCTACTGAAAGCATACGTAATGGATGCAATATTTTCCTATGAATTTAGTTGAATTCTTTCATGATTTCCTTTAGTTTTAGAAGAATTAGCAAACGCAAGCAGATTAATGTTGGTAACAATACAGGTAAATGAAATATACTGTCAAGCCACTCGAAATTAAGGTTTGTTTTGATATGTAAATTTTAAGCTTTTATACAATAAAATTCATGAGATTTAGATTCATTCTTATACTAAGAAGTGTAATCTGTCGTGGTGGTAAAGATTACATGAGAAAATGACAGCCACTGATTGCTAAATGTATCCTTAGATCAAAAAAGTCTGTGAATGCATGTCATTGTGGTTGGGAAAAAAGTGATCAGGAAATTGAAGAGTCATACTGTAGTAAATCCTGTTATGGTCAAGATACCCTTAAACTGATGAATATGCAAAAATATATAATGCAGGCATAATGATGGCAGGAATATATAATACAGCCATTCAGACTTCTTAAGAAAACAGCTGTTGAAGCAAATTGTTTTGACTCTATTTTCGTTTTATTTGGAAAATTAGAGAGGAATTTTATTTCCCAATATTATTTATAGTGTTTTTCATATAAATATGTTATTCTATGGAGTTCAAAATCAGTTTTACTGCTGAGAAAGAAAGACATAATAATAAATGACATGAAAAAACATCACGTTGTTAGGAAATTTAAACAGTTGACAGAATATTTGCATGTTAAGAAAGAATTGCTTATTAATGTTAATGGTATGAAAAGGGTATTATCAATCCATGTATATTAGTCTAATATATAGTTTAACCCATTTAATATATATACAGTATTAATCATGAATTCATTACAAACTCATGATCAGTATTATAGCATGAACATATAATATTTAGCCAATGTGGGCACTAATGTTGATTCTAATTTTCCAGTACCACATTGGGCAGCTGTACATGATTGCCAGGCATAGCTCTGAACAAAGTGATGGGGGAGAGGGTGTGGAAGTAATTGAAAATGTTCCTCATAGTGATCCAAGTCACGGCAACGGGCAGTTCACAGAGAAGCGTATTCACCTCTCTGGGTTAGTGCTTGTCTGATTTTCCTTTTTTGTTTGGAATAATAAGAGAGAATGTTAATGCAGAAAGTCAGAAACTTAATTTTTGAGTGTAGAAACTTTTTAGCAAAAGATATGACATTATCAGTCGGTTATTAAGTAAGAATAGCTTTAAGAATAACAACATTACAAATCTTTTATCCTTAAATGACTTTCATGGCTTGGAATTAGTAAATTAGTAGAATGTGAATATAATAGATTTTAAGGAAAATAAAGAAAAAAGTCATGATAACTGTATATATGTTAGTAATAAGAACTTTAGTACAGTTAATTACTAAGATATCATTGTAATTTTTAATAATGGAATTTCAGAAAACTTCCACCATGGGCCAGAGCCTATGTTCCACGATTTATATATCTAACTGAAAAAGCCTGGAACTATTATCCTTATACTGAGACAGGTATGTACTTGTGATTAGGTTAAATCCATTTATTAACACTTTAGCATTAATCCATAAAGATACGAATATTGTAAATAGGGAATTTGCAGTGAATGTTATATAAAGGGCTGTCTTTTCTAAAATCGACAGTAACTGATGATTGTGAGAAATATCAAAGTTATGCATTTATTTGTGGTTGATATGGTACACTTTTGTTTTGAGAAGTCTTGGTAAAGAGTCTAATATATGTTTTTTCTTTTTCATTGGCTGCATGATACCCACTCTTACACAGAATACACGGTGAGTATTTTACATGTTCACTTAAAGTCCATTTTGTTTTTGCAGTTTTCAAGAAATGTTAAGAAATATGCCATGGTTTTATGAGCCATAAAATGCAATTTATAATGTAAATGTGATAAAGAACAAGATGTCACTAATAACTTTATTGTGTTATGGTTTCAAGATTTTTTCAGTAATTTATCACTCATCTTGGGTCTTGATGTCATACTTATCTTATAAAAGGTACTGAAATAAAGTTTCACTGATAACATCATGGATTAATGTTTTCAGTGCTCTGTCATTCCGAGGTTCAGTATCAAGATTCGCACACGATATGAGAATAACAATGGATCCTCAGAAAATGTAAGTTCATAATTAGCTATCATATATTTTCACTACATATTTCATCACTTTCCTTAATATTTAACTGATATGATTCATGGATATATATTATTAAAAAAAATCATGGTATTAGTCTCATTTGCATTTGTGGTTTATCTTTCCAGTGCCTTAATGTTAATGAGGAGGAGCTGAAGCAAAGAATAGTGGATCATGTGGATATCTTAACAGACCCAGTGGACGAAAGACACTACAAGAAAGAAGAGGCAAGTTGTACTTTAGCTTTAGTTACCTCCCATTTTGAAACCTTTGTTTCATCTTGGGAAATTTGAAACAATGCTTTTATATTCTGTTGGAAAGATAGAATGGAGTGATATCAGTATGTCAGCAAAGGTAATAAAAGAATCTTGTTTGTGACAATGTTCCCTTATATTTTTTATTTTTGTTTTTCTAAATTAGGATCCTGCCACTTTCAAGTCGGAGAAGACTGGACGAGGACCGTTAAAAGAAGGATGGCGTGAATGTGCTGATGTTATAATGTGCTCCTACAAACTGGTTGATGTTTCATTTCAAGTCTTTGGTTTCCAAACAAAAGTTGAAGAGTGGGCTCAGAGAGTAAGTTTTCCTTTTCTTTTTCTCTTTGTGGGTTTTGATGTCATTTATTAATGGCTAACTTTTCAAATGTAAAAGTCACTCAGACAAGTTTACTAATGATATGATGATGTCATATGATGATGTAAAGGCTTGCTTTTGCACTTTTTTTTCTTTTTCTTTTGGCAACCACTCTTTGCACTTATTTTTGCAGTGCCTGTTTTATCCTCAGTATAATTTAATTATTTTAAATAATATTATGGAAGTAATTGTAAATGAAGATTAGTTAACATAAGATGGCATCAGATATACTACTGTAATGAAACAGTAAGAGGGCTACCCAGAGGAATGATAATTAAAGGAAGTATTGAAGGGTGGTACAATGTGAGATTCTACTTTGCAAAAACAAAAGTTTTTAGTCTTGACACAATAACTGATGATGTGGGAAAAACGAAAAAATCCAAATCCCTGAAGTAAGTTAGCGCAGCTGTCCAGGTCTTAAATTTACTTTTAGTTTTTATGTAAGACTTTGTTTTGTGGGATAAATTGCGAGATTGTGCCAAAGTGGAAAAGATTGAAATTTAAGAAAAAAGTGCCAAAGTGGAAAAGATTGAAATTTAAGAAAAAAGGTTACTTTTCTCTTTTAACTTTTTTATTAATTCTACTTTAACATTAATATAATTATGTATCTTTTGGCATGTTTTACATTTCAGTTTCTATCTGTTTGTTTTCAAAATACTGAGGGAGTTGCAAAAACAGATAATCTGACTACCCATCATTTTTTCCTTTGTAGATATGCATGAATTACTTTTCAAGAATATTTAATTAGAAATGAAGGAAAGCTTAGATGAAGGGAAGGGAGATATTTTATAAATTTGTTAAAATGATGTATTCTACCTTTTAGAACTAATAGAACAAGTACAAGTTAGTTTGTAAATTGTCTGTTTTGCTTATTAACTCAATCATGACAGGAGCCCCATGTGTGATACTGGACCAAGCATCATGGTATGTACAGACTCATCTGCTTAATGGAAAAATTAGAAATAATATATAGGAAAATCACCCTGCCCTCTGTGCTCTTGGCTTTGCCTTAAAAAATTGTTTAAATAATGCATCTAAAAAGAGGCTGTATGCCCTACTTTTGAGAGCCAATTCTTCTTCAGTGGAGCAGCCAAGGCCATACAAATGTACTTCTGTTTATTGTGCAAAACTTGGAGCAGGCTTGTCTACACATGATGTGAGGACATCATCCTGGCATGAGGGATAGTCTGCCACAATGCGGCAGAATGTTATCCTGTCATCATTTGGTTAACAGTCAAATTATGATGCTGTGAGGCAATGGCTAAGGATATTACTAACTCATCCCACTAGTATTCTAGAGCAGTATAATGTCAATTAGGAGATAAAGAGTCAAAGCAAAATACTAGAAGGACTTCCTTTGACTCTTCAGCAGTATTAAAAATCTTTAATATTCATTTATATCTATCATAGATATGAATTCATATATAGTATATACACATAAAATGAATGGCTATTGTACATATTGGCAGTTATGATCATGATACACCAATAGAAATTAGGAGGTAAAGTATTCTTAGGTTAGTCCCTTTTATAATATTATAAAAGCTTATTCAATAAACAAACAAAGAAAGTTTAAATGAAAGTATACCAAAATGGAACAAGAAGATAATAACATAAAAGCAAACAAAATGAAGCAATTAAATCTTCTATTGGTAGTCCCTTTAATGCAAATGTACATCTAAACAAATAAATGGTATAAGAAAGTTTAGATGAAAATAAATCAAAAAGAAACCAGAAGATAATAACAACATAAGGTAAAACCAAATGAAACAATAAAATCTTCCAGGCTATAAGGAACGTTCTCCTCTTGGGGCATCGACAAGCATTTGCATGGATAGATGAGTGGCACGGCATGACAATAGAGGATGTGCGCCAGTATGAGATAGGCATGCAGGAGGAGACCAATGCCAGGATTCGAAGTGCACAGGAGGTCAGTTGTTGATATTTAATGAATTTGTTTATTGTGATTGATACTCTCTTCAGATTATTTTTGTATTGATTACTCTTATTGTTTTTTATGTTGCTTTTGTATTGCAATTATTATAATTTCTATTTTTTTATCCATATAAATTTTTAAATAAGTCAGATCATGACCCTACTTGGTCTTTGCTAAATTGATATAAATATATCAATCCAAATGCTAGTTAATCATTCTAATCTCACCATTGATAAATCTGATCAGCTTTAGTTCATAACAATGAGTTATAAAATAATCTATATTCTGTCTAAACATTTTTTAATTGTGTAAAACCAGCTTTGTGTGATGCTAAAATTCAGCTATTACATAATGTAAATCAGAATGTAAATGCAAATCCTTACCGAAAAATTTCACATCTAATATATACCAGAATTATAAGTAAAATAAAATTCACAGGTGTTCATGTAGCTTTTACCTTTCCCCTCATGCAGAAACTAGATAGTGATAGTTCTGAGGCTGAGAAGAAGGAGAAAGGAATAGACAGTGATGGAGCAGAAGATGCCCTTGACCATTCAGAAGGCAGTGAAGCTGAGAAAAAACAGGACTCAAGCTCTTCCAAGGGGAGTGGGTCAGGAACTCCAGTCTCACCTCAGAAACCAGGATATTTTTCATCTTGGTTTAAGTGGTCGTAGGTATTACTAACAGAAAGGAAAATTTGTGGCATTGGAAAAAAAAAAAAATGATCTGGAAATTTACTTATGCATCAGAGCTGCTGGAATTAAAGGAGTACTTTGTAAACATTTTTCTTTTTCTCTAAATACTTCTTGTTTTAATGATTAATTCTTCCTCCTCCTCCTCCTCTTCTTTCTCCTGCTCCTCCTGGATATTTTTGACCAATTGAATTATAAGCCCAAGAGTTCCCTTCACTCATGTTAAAGAGGACCATACAAACAATAGAGCCAATAGAGATGTATTATAAACCAATGTGGATGGACACATAGATGTTTTTTAGGAAGTCACATATATATTTTAGAAGTATTTTAGCTTGTGGGAATACAGCACATAACCTGCATTGGCTCTTACTTGTAGAATCTATTATTTTCATGATCAATTCTCTATGATGATGAAATATGTATTATATTTTTATAGCAGCTTCATTTGGAGAGTTATCAAGGAAATTTGTTATGCTGATTATTCATGACATAGTTGATATATGCTCGTGTGATATTGAACTAATTTTTAAGCTTTCAACAAATTGAGGTAAAGTGTTAAGTGCAATAGCTTCATGGGGATTTGATAAAAGGATCAATGTTATGAATGCAAGGCATTTGTTTTAACTGTAGAAGGAATATACATCCAGAATACTGCTAATTGCTAAGTTAATAAAAACCACATTGTAATATTTCTGCCACATATAATGCACATTTTTTAGGTATATTTATGAAGATTATTATACAAGTTTGAACGATGATCTTAAGCTTAGGGCACATAAATTTATTTTTTTTATGTGAGAACTGCACAAGTTACAAAACATATAAAAAACAAATAATACTTGCACTTAGGTTCAGGGTTGGTTTGCATCATAAAGTAAAGGAAGCAGATGCAGAATGCACTATACTATTACAGAACCTGTCTTTATGAATTCAAAGTATGGATACCAGGTAGAAGATTGACTTATGGCTTCGTTGTACAAAGATTTTTAAAAAATTTGTGTCATAGTATTGATATCTAAATGTGATCACCTCATCTTGAAACTAATTTTTGGTTTAAAATTTTTAACCATCGTAGAGATGCATCAGTCTGTATGTAGAAGGTGTAAGAGCTTTAGTAATCTGTGTTAATATTATCAGAATCCATGATGAGAACTGATGAAACCCTCCTAATTATAACTGCCAGAAATTTTGTTTCAAGCCATGAGTTAATGTTTATGTTCTTTTTATACTTATTTTGTTTTAATGGACTTGGTTGTAATTCATTACAGTGATCTTTTATTTATTTTCTTGAAAAATGGATCTATTGATAATACAAAAAAATAAAAAAAATAAACTGTATGTTACTTAACTTTTATTCACAGTATAAGTCCAGAGATTTTTAAATTAACCAGTTGATGCTAGGAAGATTACATGCATACATTATGTTTCCAGTGTAGTTTTGTTATTAATTCTATTTGATCACAGATGGCTCCATAAGTGCTTGGTCCTCAGATCGTAATTTCTTAACTTGTTCATTTATCCCACTGCCGCCTGGGTTGGCATATATGTACGTACATGCCATACCCAATAAGTTTAGTTTATTTATATTTACACTCGGATACTCCACAAGTACATTTTTTATATTGTTAGTATTGTAAGTAACACTAATAATTATAGTGTTAATGACACTAATAACAGCATCAATATAACAGCATTAGAAAAAAATCCTAAAATGGGGAAATCAGGTGAGGTCATGTAGGTCTACTAATTTACTTGTGGAGCCATCTGTGTATAAATACATTTCACAAAACAATACTATAGTACATATTACATGTTCCTAGCTACATAGGGTTAATTTCTTTAAAGAAAAGGTTTATATTTATTTCTTCTATTAGTATTGTTAATAACATTATAGTAATAATAGTGATATTATGGTGATAATGTTAATAGCAACTATAACAGTAATTTTTTTCCCCCCTCAAAATTCAAGATATAGGGTAACAAAATCAGATAGGTCTAGTAACTTTCTCTTTGGTGACTAAACACTTACAAAACAAAATCACAGCAGACAATGCATGCACTTATTGCCAATTGATTAAAAATCTCATTCATTGTGATATTAGATCATAACTTTATTTGTGATAAATATGTCCAGTGTGTTTGATAGCTATGATTTACAGTATAGTGACAAATACTTGTATAAGAATTAATAATGTTCATGATTAATAACTGGGCTTGGCAACTTTTCAGCATCTGAGCATCAGAGTACAGTTTGTAAATTATACTCAACTGTCTTTTCCCATTGGTAGAACTTGTGCTTGCAGTATTTGGCATCTTCATTTGTATTGTGTCAGCAAAATACATGCAATATGCTCAATGGCTTAGTGGCCTAAGGTGCCCAAGGGTTGATTTAGTGCTTAGCAGTTAGTTAGGACCCCAACTAGTCCCAGCACAATGAGGGAGGTGGCAACCTATAGAATATGTAAGTGGGGACTATGCATCACCTTTTTTTCTTTCTTTCTTTTTTTGATAACTTCATTTGTGAGTATGAACGAAACAGGCATTCTGCAGTTTATGGGTTAATAAACACCAGATTTTCTTGATTTTATTTGTGAAAAAATGTTGAGATTTCAGCTTGCTAACTGAACACTTGTTTCATTCAAAAAATCAGAATAAAGACTAATTTCAGCTGAGGAAAAGTAAAAGAAAGAAATCATATGTGAAATTAAATGTCATGAATATTGGAAGGATAAAAACAAATGTAATACTGTATTTGAGCTTAAACCTAGAAGACGACCTTGATAATTATGTATTTATGTGTATTTTTAAGATATTAGTATGACTCAAGGATCAGAGAATAAGTGCATGGATCAGTATAGGTGTTTTTTCTTTGTACATGTGAACAACTTGAGTTGATTTTTTTCAAACTCATAGACACTTAATTTTAAATTTTATTCATCTTCTAACCAACTGAGGAATTGACAGAACCACAGAGTTACAGATTCTTTTATGAATATGCGAGATTTTTTATTATTATTATTATTATTATTATTTTATTATTGTTATTATTTTTTTTATTATTATATATTTTTTTGTCAACCTCGAGGAAAAGTAAAAATAAATAAATGGATACTAAAGTGGATATAAGCTGTTTTATATTGGTAAACTATTGTTTATCCTGCAACAACTATCAAGAATTCTGCTTGACCTAACATAGTTTTGAAATTGCTTCATGATCACAGGCATCTTACCATTTAATCAGATTCTGATTTGCTGAAATATTGGTTTCAGAAAAGCCCTTCTCATGATCTAAATCAAAATTATCCTTTTGTGTTGTAGCACAGGAAATACAGAATTTTTGTTTATTTATATACTATTGGTTGACTGGTAAATTTGTTTGTTGATGTACCTGTAGCCGAACCATACATTATTTCAACTTAAAAATTAACAGAGAACCACTCAGACCCAAGGACACAGATGGTACAGTATGTTCAACAAATCAATGCTATCTTTGTATGAGGTGTTGAGTCACTGGTGAAGCATTACTATTGGCTTGAGCCCAATTGGGAGGGGGAAATTGTTAAGTAGTGTCACAATTTTAAAAATGTGTTTGCAGTTGAGTCACATTTTTATAAGAATACTTCCTTTGAAGATCACTGAACAGACACCAAAATTATTTGTAAAGACATTAATCTTTAGAAGCTGATTGGAATTTAGATGCTAGACCTCCATGCATTTAAGCTTAGTTTTTTAGTTTTGTTAATTTGACATTTTTAAAAGTAAGAAATTTGTTCAGAAGTGACAGGTTTATATTTGTGAAATATAATATAACCAAGGATTTACATCATTGCATTTGATGTTCAAGATAAAAATTAGACAATATTTTACCTTGTGATAAGTAGAAAGACAGGAAGTGAGGTACTGTATTATGTGTATATGATAAATCTGATGTGTGTGTACAAACATAATAATGTTTACACTCACAACCACAAACTCATGTATTTGCGCACACTTAAGTGAACATATAATTATATATGTATTTTGTTATGAAGATCAATTTGAAAGCTTATTTTCATTAACAATAGCACAGGTTGCCGTGTTTCTAATAGTTTGATTGTGGCATTGTAATGATATATGAAACCTGCATTTGTAATAAGAAAGGGTTCAATGCAAACTAGATTCCTAACTAATACTTTAAAACTGCTTTGGTTTACTGACTTGATTTGAATGTGTTTTGTGTGTGCTTTAATTCTTATACTACAATTGCTTCATTAACTTTCCTGTACCCTAGATGTTTTGTTTTCAATGGATATATATGTATGTATGTATTGTGTATTGTGTTTGTGTGTGAATGTGCATATCTGTATAACGATGTTAGGTCAATAAAAATGAATGATTTTTGG